TTACCTGGTTTTGGTATCAAGGATATGTTTGTTTCATAGAATGAGTCTGGGAGAAGTCCTTCTTTTTCTATTTTCTGAAATAGTTTATGTAGGATTGGTGACAGTAATTCTCTGAATGTTTGATAAAATTCACTTGTAAAACCATCTGCTCCAGGGCTTTTTTGGCTGAAAGTTGTTTTATTACCTTTTCAATTTCTTCTTTTGTAATGAGTCTGTTCATGTGTTCAATTTCAGTTTGTGTCAATTTAGGTAGGTTGTGCATTCCTAAGTATTTGTCCATTTCCTCTAGATTTTCACATTTGTTTGAGCATAGTTTTTAATAATATTCCATTGTTCGCCTTTTTATTTTAGTTGGCTCTGTTGTGACATTGCCCATTTCATCTTTTTTCAGATTTTTTGGGTCTTTTCCTTCTTTTCTTTTGTTAGTTTCACTAGTAGTTTGTCGATTTTATTGACCTTCTCAAAGAACCAACTCCTAGTTTTGTTAATGGTTTCAATTGTTTTTCTGTTTTCTATGTAATTTCTTTCTGCCTTAATCTTTATAATTTCAGGTATTTTAGCTGGTATAGGGTTTTCTTGATGATTGTTTTTTTCAATTTTTTGGAGATTTGGGTTAGAGGGTCAATGGTCCTTTTTTCCCTGCCTTTTTATGTGCTTGCTTATTGCTATAAATTGACCTCTAATAACTGTTTTGGCTGTTTCCCAGAGGTTTTGGTATGTGATGTTTTCATTGTCATTTGTTTTCAAGAAACTTTTAAATTTCATTTTGCATTTCTTCTAGTACCCACTCATGTTCAAGCAAGGTGTTGTTCAGCTTCCAAATGTGTGGGGTTTTTTCTCCTTTATCCTCTTGTTGTTAATTTCTAATTTTATAGCATTGTTGTCTGAAAAGATGCTTTGAATTTTTTCTATGGTTTTTTTTTTTAAATACACTTGTCTGATTACCTAAAATGTGATCTATTCTCAAGAACATTTCATGCACATTGGAGAAGACGGTATACTGTGATTTTGGGGGGTGTATTAGCCTATAAATATCTATGAGATCGAGTTGGTTTATTGTGTAACAATTCTTCAGCATCTTTATTGAGTTTCTTTCTGGCAGTTCTCTCTTTTTTTGAGAGTAGTGTACTGAAATCTCCAACTACTATAGTGGTGTTGTCTATTTCCTTTTTCAGTTTTGTTGATGTTTGCTTTCTATATTTAGCAGGATGAAAGTTATACAATGTTCAGATCTTTAGTTCATAGGATCCCTATGAGTCACTTTTGACTCAATGGTACTTAACAACAACAATAACAACAACAGCATAGAAAGAGATCAATTGGCATAGTGGACAGAAAGTGATGCTACCAAGCCACAGGTGGGTGACTTCAATCCATGGCCTTTAGGCCTATTTTTAATTGTTTTTGGTCAAACATTCTAGGTCATATAACTCTGCTCTGTCCACTTGCTGTACAGAGGTAACTTATGGTTTCTGTGAAACTGAACACTGTGGCACTGATATGTCAAATGCAATAATGGTTACCCATGGTAGACAGTGTTTGGTGGAGCTCCACAATTAAAACAAGCTTGGAAGCAGGAGTGGCTTTCACTTCCAAAACAGATTGCCTCTGGAAACCCTATGAACCTGGAGAAAGGATGAAAGTCAAGCACGCAAGCGTGGGGGACTTTCATTCATAGGGTCGCTGTGAGTTGCCTATGACTCGACGGCACTTAACAACAGCAACAACAACAACATGGACAAGGCAGATATATTTTAGAAGTACAGTTAGAACATTCAGAGAAGTGAAGATGGTGAGACTTTGTCTCATACTTGAGAAATACAATCAGAAGGGGCCAGTCTCATGGAAAACATATCATGTTTAATACAGTAGATTGTTGTTGTTGTTGTTGTTGTTGTTATTGTTGCTATGTGCCGTTGAGTCCAGTATGACTTGACACCTTTGAGCTGTGGTGCTGGAGAAGAGTACTGAATGTACCATGGACTGCCAAGAAAACAAATAGATTCATCCTAGAGAGGGTTAAACCAGGCTGCTCCTTGGAGGCAAGGATTCTGGGGCTTCGCCTGACATACTTTGGACATGTTGTAAGGAGAGACAGGTCTTTAGAGAGGGACATCATGCTGGGTAGAGTGGAGGGACAGAGCAGGAGGGGAAGACCCTCTATGAGGTGGATTGATTCAGTGACTGGGGTAATCGGGATGGATGTGTCAGAGGCAATGAGATTGGCACAGGATAGAGCAGGGTTTAGGGCTGTTGTATACAGGGTCGCTATGAGTCGCAAGCAACTCAATGGCACATAACAACAACAACAACATAAACAATAGGTATGATTACTCTTTTATCCTGAGTCATCCTCATCATTTCTGACAAAGCCAAACCCATTAGTATCATCACTGTGTCAGACTCTCTCATTGAGGGTCTTCCTCTCTTTTGCCGACTCTGTTTCTTTTTAGGCATTATATACCTTTCCAAGTTGTGGCCCCTCCTAGCAACTTGCCCAAAGTATGTGAAACAAAGCTTCACCATCTTTGCCTCCAAAAAGCACTTTGGTCACACTTTCTCCTAGATTTATCTGTTCTCAGTCCATGGGATATTTAGTACTCTTGTTCAAAACAACAACTCAGATGCATCAATCATCCCTAAGTAGAATTACCACAGTGACTATAACAATGGGCTTAAATGTAGCAACAATTGTAAGGATGCATTGGCAGTACCTAATAACAAGAAATTTAGGAAGCATAACACAAGGAATCTGCCAAGGATGTTTTCTGTCTCACTACCTTTTCAATCAGTATGCAGAACAGATTTTCCAGGACACTGGCCTGTACAAGGAGAAATGTGGCATCAAGATTGGTGGAAGAGTCATCAACAACCTGCGTTATGCAGACGACACAATCCTGCTTGCTGAAACTGAGGATGACCTGAAGCACTTGCTGCAGAAGGTCAAGGACTGCACTATTCAATATGGACTGAAGCTCAACATCAAGAAAACAAAAATTCTCACAACTAAGATCATCATTATGGGTGGTGAAGAGATTGAGATAGTTAACAGTTTTAGAGTGCTTGGCTCCACAGTCAACACTATTGGTACCAGCACCCAGGAAATCAAGAGACAAATTGCTTTGGGAAAGTCTGCTATCAGGGACTACTTTAGAGTTCTAAAGAGCAATGACATCAGGCTGGAGACTAAGGTGCACCTGATCCAGACTATAATCTTCACAATTGTGTGCTATGCATTGGAGAGCTGGACAGTGGCTAGGGATGATAGAAAGATAACTGATGTGTTTGAGCTGTGGTCCTGGAGAAGAGTGTTGAATATACTGTCAACTGCTAGAAAAACAGATTTGTCCTGGAGATGGTGAATCTGGGCTGCTCCTTGGAGGCAAGGATTCTAAAGCTTCATCTAACATACTTTGGGCATGTTTCAAGGAGGGACCAGTCCTTGGAGAGTGACACCATGTTTGGGAAATTGGAGGGACAGCACAGGAGAAGACTCTTGATGAGATGGAGCAATTCAGTGATTGGGGTAATGGAAGAGGCTGTATCAGACACAATGAGTTTGGCACAGGATAGAGCAGGGTTTTGGGCTCTTGTACACAGGGTCACTATGAGTCGCACGTGACTAGATTGAATGTAATAACAACAACACAAGTTAATTTCTTCTACTGAGACTTAAAGCTCTGTATAAATTTCAAAATCTGTACTATACTGTTTTTTATTATAGAGTCTTCTTTTAAGACAGAAAATATTATATCTGGTGGAAAAGGAAAATCTAAATTCTAATCACCACATACTTCACCGGTTGTCAAATTAAGCCATTGAATAAAATCTAGTCTGTACACTGTTTACATAAAATTGTTTTGGAATGTTGTGATGTCTGTTTGTTTACGTATTGTCTGACAATTTTAATATTAAAGTGGACAGTGCTTATAGCACAGACCATATGCTGAATAAAATTTAAATAATCCATAACCTGACTCTATAAAAAATGTTGCCAACATCTGATTTATTTGACTGAGAATAAAGCAGAAAACAATACCCAACTGAGCATTGAATAGAATTTGTAGAGTGTAATATGGATGTGATTATAGATCCTAAAGATGATTGCTAAGAATAATCCGTAGACAAGCATCAAGATAAAGAAAGTGAAAGAGTGAAAAAATGAGACACATAGGACACAAATGGATAAATAAACATAAAACTAAGGATACATTCATTATAAAGCAGGACAGCTAAAAAACAGTATCATGGTTGTGAGAAACAAACTTATTTCATTATTTAGAATTTATTAAAGTTATTCTTGGCACTTTTCTTTGAACTACATAGTAAAAGTTAGCATAATCTTTTCTTTCTAGACATTTTATATAAAAGGTTTTCTTCTCAGAGAAGTCTGTCATCCATTCTTCAATGGGAAAATTAATTACTCTCCAAATGAATGTTTAATGCCCAGGGATAATTAAGTGATATATAACTTTTTAAAATTCTCTTTTCTTCATAGGGGTTATTTTTGCAGACTTTGAATGAGATTTGGAAATTTGATATTTTAATATGCATCTGAGAACTATACAATGACTAAGGATGATAGAAGAAAAATCCATGCCCTGGAACTTGGTGTTGAACAAGAATACAAAATTCTCTTTGGAGAACTTGGCGGCTTTAATGAAGAGTGCTGAAGATTCCATGAACAAAGATATGTCTTGAACAAGGTGCAGCCAGAGTGCTCCTTGGAGGCAAAGATGATGAAGCTTCACCTCATATATTTTGAGCATGTTATTAGGAGAGGTTATTCTTTAGAGAGGGACAGCATGCTTGGAAAGGTGGAGGGTCATTGAAGGACAGAAAGATCCTCAACTAGGTGGATTGACTCAAAGGCAGCAACAACGAGCTTGAGGGAGTCAGAGATTGTGATAATAGGACAGGGTTCAGATCTGTTGTTCACAGGATTGCTATGAGTCATACTCAACTTGATGGCATCTAACAACAGCAATCAAATATCCAAATTATTTTTTTCTATAATCCTTAAGCTTACCAAATACTCGCCTCATTGCCATCTTCATCTCTCTGTTTCTGAATGTATAGATGACTGGATTGAGAAAAGGGGTCAAAACTGCATCAAATATAGCTAAGAATTTATCCATATGTGTTGAAGGTGAAGGCCACATATAGAAAAAAATTAATGGACCAAAGAATAAAACCACCACAGTCATATGAGCTGACAAAGTGGAAAGAGCCTTGGATGAATCACCTAAGGAGTGTTTCTGAAGGGTGACCAAGAGAAAGATGTAAGAAAGGATAAGCAATAAGAAAGCACCCAAGGAAATGAACCCACTGTTAGCAGTGACCATGAATTCCAGTTTGTAGGTATCTGTGCAAGCAAGTTTGATGAGCCGAGGTATGTCACAATAAAAGCTGTCTAATACATTAGGGCCACAAAAGGGCAAGGCTACTACAAAAACCAACTGGGTCGATGAGTGAATGAGACCAATGGTCCAGGAAAGCACTAAAATTGAAATGCACACTCGTGGGCTCATGATAGTCATGTAGTGGAGAGGTTTACATATGGCCACGTATCTGTCAAAGGCCATGGCTATGAGTAGCACCATCTCCGTGCCTCCAACAGCATGACTAAAGAAGATTTGAGCCACACAGCCTCCAAAAGAGATGACTTTCTTCTTCCGGAAAAGATCACATATCATCTTGGGTGCTGCAATTGAGCAAAATATCAAGTCAATGACAGAAAGGTTGGCAAGCAGAAAATACATGGGAGTATGTAAGTAAGAATCAGTGGTTACAGTGACCACTATAAGGAGATTTCCCATCATACTGGACACATAGAACAGAGATGATAAGCAAAAAAGAAGAAGTTGAATTTCCCAGGAACTGGAGAGTCCCAGGAGCACAAACTCAGACACAATTGAGTGGTTGGCTCCTTTCATTGATTTATTTGATAGGATCACTCTCATGTTACCTTAAGAAAGAAAATCAGAAAATTTACATTAATAGCATTATATTAATGCACCCTCCTAAAAGTATCTAAATTTTTTCCTTTTTTTTATTCTATTAGTTTATTTACAAAATTCTAATACATTGATTTCCAGAACAGGTTTTTAAAATAAAAATAGCACCTGAGTATTTCACCAAAAATCAAGTAAGATCCTTTTGACCACTAATGCTGTAGCTATATAAAGAAATAAATGGATTGTTGCAATGACCTTACTCTAGAGGAAAAATCAGTAGTCTAATGGATGGTATTAGATGAGTCTGTGGCATATTTGGCAGAAAGCCACAGACTTACAGCATTTGATATTCAAGTCCTCAGGTGCTCCACGTCTGCCATCCTTTCTCTGGAGAAGAAGTAACAACCAATTACATTTCTAGATAAAGGCAATTCTTGTTATTATTGTTTGTTGTTGTAGAGCAGGACTCATAGCGACTGTATGAACAAAAGGCCTAAAGTCTTTCTATAACTATAGTTATTTATGAAAGTTCATAGAGTTTTCAGGGGCATGTTGTGTAGGAAGTAGATGTCACTTCTACTTCAAAGGCAATTCTTATAAAAAAAATTTTAAAAGGTGCTGTGACTTATTTTTAAGTTCATCCAGAATTTCTCTTTTTCGAATTTCACATTCCTCAAACTATGTCTAGTTCAAATGACATCTAACCTGTCAAGGCTTCCTCAAGCCACTTCTACATACATATTTATTTGTCTTACTAAATGTTGATCAAATCTTTCCCCTATGTGATTATGAACTGTTCAAGGTTATAGACCATCTTATCCTTAAATTTTGTCCTCATGGTTTGCATATATAGGATTTTGTAATAATTAGATATCATGTAATGCTTTTGGAATTAACTAATGAGTGTTCTGAAATGGTTTCTATAAACATTATATATAATAGTCATTATTGTTGTTGTTGTTGTTATGTGCTGTCAAGTCATTTGCAACTCATAGTGACCCTATGTACAATAGCCATGAAACCTGCTCTATCTTGTGCCAAATTTACTGCCTCTGATACACTTATTCTCATTACCCCAGTCATTGAATCAATCCATCTCATCAAGGGTCTTCCTCTCTTGTGCTGTCCCTCCAACTTTCCAAGCATGATTTCTCTCCCCAAGGAATGGTCTCTCCTTACAACACGCCCAAAGTGTGTCAGACGAAGCCTCAGAATCCTGCCTCCAAGGAGCAACCTGATTTCACCCCCTCTAGGACAAACCTGTTTGTTCTCCTAGCAGTCCATGGTATATGCAACACTCTTCTCCAGCATCACAGCTCAAAGGCATCAATTCTCTTTCAATCATCTCTAGTCATTGTCAATCTCTCTGACTCATAGCAAGCAATTGTGAAGGCTATGACCTGGATCAAGTGCACCTTAGTCTCCAGATTGACGTCGTTGCTCTATAGTACTTTGGCGAGGTCCCTGACGGCAGATTTTCATAATGCAATTCATCTTTTAATTTTTTGGCTGCTGATTCAAAGAGTGTTGATTGTGGAGCCAAGCAAACTAAAGCTGTTAGCAATCTCATTCTCTTCACCATCTATCATAATGCTGTCAATTGGTCCAGTGGTGAGAATCTTTGCTTTCTTGATGCGGACCTTCAATCTGTATTTAAAGCTGCAGTCCTTGACCTTCTGCAGCAAGTGTTTCACGTCATTTTTTATATAATATTTATGTATTATTTAAGATTGTTTTTGTTGCTATTATGTGCCATTAAGTCAAGAATGACTTATAGCGACCCTATGAACAGCCAAACTGAACCCTGACCTATTCTGTGCCATCATCACCTCTGACACACTACAGCCCATTGCTGAAGTCATCACATCTTCTCATCACATTGGAGGGCTTCCTATTCTTTACTGACACTCTCTTATTTTCAAGCATGACGTCCCTTTCCAAGGAATAGCTTCATAATATATAAAATATATGGTATATAATATACAGTTAATTCAACAAATATTTATCAAAGACTTGCTGTGTGCGAAAAACTAGTCAAGTGCAGCCAAGAACAAAACAGGTAAAAATTCTTATCTTCATTAACTACCTTTGGCAGAAAAAGATACAAATACAAGAGAAATAGACATAGAAGCTAGGTTGTATACTACATGATGATTATAAAATGGAGAAAAAGTAAACAAAGAAAAGATATAGGGAGAGATGTAAAATGTTATAAGTATTATTGACAAAGAAGTTTTTGCTAAAATGTTGACTAAGTGGAAGTCTAAATCAGGTGAAGAACAAGTCACGAAGGTGTCTAGGCAACAATTCCAGGCAGAGAGAATAGAAAAAATGTCTGGGATTTGATCTTAGTGGGCATGCTCAAAGAACTCAAAAGAGAGGGCTTAACTTGAGTGTGGAAGACAACATTGGAGAGTTAGCATCAACACAGACCAGGTAGAGCTTTTCAAGATTTCCTGAAGAAGAAAGGAAGTCATGGGGTTTTAAAAAGAAGAGAGACAAGTGTGTGTAAGTTTTAATGTCAATAGTAACAATGTTAAGAGACTGTGCATTAAGCTAGGAACTTCTATGGCTCAAAATCAGTTTTCTATGTTTCTTCTCTAGATTGCCAGGACCACTTTATAGAGCCAGCATGAGCAACTGGAAGTTTTAATAGTAAAAAAAGTCAAATAAATTGGAAACATCTGATGCTGTTCAAGTATAAAGAGCCTACCTAGGAAAATAGTAAACATGACAGTTGTAAATTTCCAATAGAGTAGTGAATTGGGGTTGGAGAAATGGCGACTTCTGGGGAGAGCCGGGCTTCGGGCGTTGGAGGCGGCACAGAGGACGCGTTTATGACCTTGTACAGTGAGGTGAAGCAAATAGAAAAGAGAGATTCGGTTTTAACATCCAAAAATCAGATTGAGAGATTGACCCGTCCTGGTTCCTCCTACTTCAACTTGAACCCCTTTGAGGTTCTTCAGCTAGATCCTGAAGTGACAGATGAGGAAATAAAAGAGATTTCGGCAGTTATCTATCTTGGTGCATCCTGACAAAAATCAAGATGATGCTGACCGAGCACAAAAGGCCTTTGAAGCTATGGACAAAGCTTACAAGTTGCTGCTGGATCAGGAACAAAAGAAGAGGGCGCTGGATGTAACACAGGCAGAAAAAGATTAACGTGGAACACACTGTAAAAGAGCGAAAAAAGCAATTAAAGATGGAAGGGAAACCTACAAACGTGGAAGAAGACGATCCTGAGCTGTTCACACAGGCAGTAAACAAACAGACCATGAAGCTCTTTGCTGAACTGGAAATTAAAAGAAAAGAAAGAGAAGCCAAAGAGATGCATGAAAGGAAGCGACAAAGGGAAGAAGAGATTGAAGCCCAAGAAAAAAGCCAAACGAGAGAGGGAGTGGCAGGAAAACTTCGAGGAAAGTAGAGACGGTAGTGTGGATAACTGGCAAAATTTCCAAGCAAACACAAAAGGCAAGAAAGAGAAGAAAAATCAAGCTTTCCTGAGACCACCAAAAGTAAAAAAGGAGTGGGTGATCCCTTGGGGTCACAGTCACAGAACCTTCCTCCAACTGTTTCCCTCCACTCCTGATTTGAAGGACTCATTCTTTCTCCCACCTCTGCTCCAACACAGAGTAGTATTTGCTTTTTAGTCCATTTTGTTTCAGTACAGTTTAATATCAAATCAGAGTAGTCTTTTGTACATTGAAATGAGGGACTTGGTTTTAAAAAATAAAAGACCTTCCCCACTCCCTACCCTACAAGCAGCCAGGATAGGAAGTTGTCACCTTGGTACACCCTTCTGTTCCCACAGGCTGTAACTTAATGTTTTGTACTTCACTGGAATGATGATGGTTGGAAACTTTGTGTATAGTTTATGGAACTCATTCAATTAAACACGCTGCTTAAAAAAAAAAAATAGAGTGGTGAATTGGGCTAGGACATAGGAAAAAGGTGAACCTTTTAAAAAAAAGAAAAGAGAAAGCAAAACAAACATACAAAACCTGATGATGCTGAAATGTGTATAACTTGTGTTTTAGATTTTTGTCAGGATAAACTGAGATTGTTCTACTAGAATGATCTGGACTTTTTTTTTCTTTCTGAATTTCTATCTGCTAGTATACACCATTTTCCTTGAAGTTTATTCAATTAAAAATTGTAGCTCTACAAATTTTGCTTTCTTCGTACCTTTATCTATTTTGTAGACTTACATAAATTTGGTCAATCTCCCAGAAGAGAGTCTCATCCATTTCAAAGTTTATAGTTGAGGAAAATAGGATCAATGTTACAATAATAATGCCACAAAAATAACTCCTTAAGGATATAAAGAAAAATTTTGCTTCAGCCCACATAAGTCAATATTGTCATATCTAAATCATCTAAGATATATTACTTGAGAAGTCAGTAATTCTTTTGTTCAACCATTCCTATCCATCTATCATTCTAAAAGGCAAAAATTTCTTCATTGATTCTAACTTTCTGGTTCTTTAAGTCTACCATAACTTGTCTGTTGCTCAGTGAAAGTAAAAATATAGATATAAATGGTTTTAGGAATTTCTCAAATATATCCTACTCCACTTGAATTAACTCATGGAATTAAGTTATTGCTTCCCTTTACCACTCCTCTGAATATTTCTGGCTTAAACTCTAATGGTTACATTTATTCTTTCCTTACTCTTATCTACACCTATATTATACTGAGAAGGTCAAAATAAGAGAACAAAAAGTCCAACAAACACTCATTATAGTAGTTAATACCATGATTTCAGTTTTTCTGCATCACAATTGTTTTGTAAATCCAGTGAGTTCTCAGGAAGGCATTTTATACAGTCAATCCTTCTCCAAATTCTGTGTCATTTGATTTGGGTCCCCAAAAATAATATGTAGCATTCATTTTTATTGGACTTCTTCCTTGTATAGCTTTTCTATTGAGAAAGAAAAACAAACAAGTGAAAACAAGACTTTTCATTTGTATGTATTATCCATTTTCCTTCAGTCCTAGAAAGGAAGAGAGATTGGAATAAAAAAATATCTTACTAAATAACTCTTTGAATGCCAAGTTTGAAAAAAAAAAAACCAAAAACAAAATGCCTCATTCGTTTTAGCTTGAATAATACTCCGAGCAACCCTGTGTTGTTGCTGTGCTATCAAGCTGGAATTAACCCATAGCTGATCCTCTAGAACAAAAAGAAAAAGCTCTGATTAAAAAAAATAAAAAGGACAATGAAACTATAAGGTTCAGAACTGTCTTGCAGGGACTTTCTGGTTAGCAGCCAGATGTTCTAACAATAGTACAACCACAGCTTCTATTTGAATCCCCACCACTCTCTCCTTACCTATGCTGAAGGCATTGCATTCTCCTGACCCTGTCTCTCCTCCATAGCCATGGCTTCACTCTGACTGATGGTGTTGTCTGTAGGGAGTAGGACTGCTAGCCCAATGGCCACACCTCTCTATCAGTTCGAATCCACCAGTGACTACCTGGGATAAAGAGCAATAATTCTCCCGTGCAATTTATACCTCCAAAAACATACTAGAAAAATCAATGAGGGGTTTTTTGAGAAGTAAAAACAAAATCAGCTATTTGCCATTCTCAAAAGAGTAATCCATTTCTTTCTCCCTTTATTATAATCAACCTGTCCACAAGCAAAAACTTACTTGATGTCTTATCTTCCTCACCATTATTATCTTGATGTCTAATCTTTCACCTACCTGTTCCCAGACCACAGCATCTTCAGGGAATTAAAGTACCTTGGTATCTGACTTCTGCTTATGTAGATAACAGCATTGGAGAATAGTGACCAAGCGATACTACAGAAACCTATACTTAAACTTACTTTTGGTGGTCAAGGGAATTGTTCCTGGAACCCAAGTGGTTTGGTAAGGTGTTTTTTTTTTTAAAAAAAAAACAAACCAAAACAAACTTGTAATGAGTCACTGGAGAGGAGACAAAACTGAGACAGGATTTTTATCAATTTTTATGTGCAATTCCTACTAACTCATTTAGTTTTAGTGGGGTTCAATGCCTGGCGAGAATTTGCTTATGGGCAAGACATTTGCTTATGGGCAAGTTAATCAAAATCATGTGTATTTCATGGAAAGTTTAGAATTAAACTTCAGAATACAGAATAAACAGGAGTTATTAGGTGAATCTTTAATATAACTACACATATATATTCTTGCATGTGTATATAAAAATATAAATATGAAAGAAACAAACAATAACAAAGCCATCTATAAATAAATTCCCAGCATTGTTTATAGTTAAAAGAAATAACAACCAACCCTCAAATTACTGTGTTTTAATACCTGTACTGAAATAGTTGTTTTATGACTAATAAATGTGGTATATCATTCAAAAAATATATATAAATATATGTTGCTATTGTTGTTGTTGTTGTGTTCTGTCGAGTTAGAACTGACCCTCCAGTGGATTTTCAGAGGCAGATAATTACACAGGAGATTGCCCATCCTTCTTCTGCAGAGCAGCTAATGGATTTGCCTTTGGGATTGCAGTGCAGTTCCTTAACACTATACATGTAATTCATGTGTTGTTGTTATATTCCATCAAGTTGCCTGTGACTCATAGTGACCCTATGTACAACAGCCCTAAACCCTGTTCTGTCCTGTGCCAATCTCACTGTCTCCGACACACCTACCACTATTACCTTAGTCACTGAATCAATCCATCTCATCAAGGATCTTCCTCTCCTGCACTGTCCCTCCACCCTCCCAAGCACAACGTCCCTCTCCAAGGACTGACTCCAGTTGCACCATATCCAAAGTATGTCAGACAAAGCTTCAGAATCCTTGCCTCCAAGAAGCAGCCTGGTTTTACCCTCTCCAGGGCGAACTTGTTTGTTCTCTTACTAGTCCATGGTATATTCAATACTCTTCTCCAGCACTAAAGCTCAAAGGCAGCAATTCTCCTTCCATCATCCCTAGTCATTGTCCAGCTCTCCGATGCATAGCAAGTGATTGCAAAGACCACCACCTGTATCAGGTGCACCTTAGTCTCCAGACTAACATCATTGCCCTTCCATAGATATAGAGATAGATAGATGATAAAGAGAGAGAGAGAGAGATTATTATATATAGATATAAAACATATGCATATATTTTTATTTTATGTAATATATACTTGCCTATTGGAAACAGGAGCAGCATCTACTTCCTAAACAATATGCCTCTGGAAACTCTATGAACTTTGATAAATGTTGATAGTTATAGAAAGACTTTTTCTTCATAGGTCACTATGAGTCATCCTTGACTCATCAACAGTCAACAACAACAACATAACTGCCTATGGAAAAACCACTTTTGGAGTAGCCATGATGGCTAATGCTACCACCAACCCATTGCAACTACTGCCACTAGAACTTGTGGACAAATGTATAGGATCAAGGATTCACATACTGATGAAAAGAGATAAGGAAATTGTTGGCACGCTTCTAAGTTTTGATGACTTTGTCAATATGGTCTTGGAAGATGTCACTGAGTTTGGAATCACACCAGAAGGAAGCAGAATTACTAAATTAGATCAGATTCTGCTCAATAGAAATAATATAACAGTGCTGGTTCCTGGAGGAGAAGGGCCTGAAATAAGAGGGGATTTTCTTGACTGATTGCTAGCTCCTGTTTTGTTTTATAAAGGCAACAAAATTGATTTTTTTTTTAACTTTTTAATCTTGAAATTCTGTAATGCTAGGTTTCCCATTACAGGGAAATGTTTTGAGATAAATTGTAAATGCCAATTTTTATCAGTTAATCATGATTTTCTTGGGAGAAAAGTAAACAGTTTGCTATTTGAAGACCAAAATAAAAATATTTTTGGTTAACTATAAATTTACTATTCTGTAACGGCCAATAGGACAAAGTTTGTGGTTATTTTGTCACTTGTTTTCCTCACATTTTATGCCCATTTGCTTTATCATTTATATGACCATTTGATCCTCAAACTAGAATTGATCCAAACAAAATGAGCTTAAATTTTGAGCAAGTGTGTTTAAAAACTTAGAAGCAATAACTAGGAAAATTAAATTCAGAACAAGATACTGAAGGATTTTCTACCGGTTCCAGATTCTGTTAACCTTTATTAAAAGTAAAAAAAAAAAAAAAACATACAGCTCATATATACATGTTGTACAAAGAGCAGTGAAGTAAAAAGAAAAAAATTATAACATTTTGCTGTACATCTTGGACTTTCTAACTATAATTTTTATTTTAAAACTCATTCTTCTTGTGCTCGCTTCAGCAGCACTAAAATGCATTCTTCTTGAATTTACTGTTTTTAAACCATCATTTAAATCCTCTTTTGAATTTAAATGGAAAGTATTGTTCCATATCAAATACGCAATATTTTAAAATATGTGCATAGTATTCTCAATAAATGAATTTGTTTTTAAAAAAAGCACATACTTGCCTATGAATACCCCCCAGAGGGTCAGCTATGGGTCAATTTCAACTTGATAGTACACAGCAACAACATGTTATAGATATACACGACAATAAACATAATCTCCAAAGTAGCCCTAGAAGTAATCTTTAAGAAAAGAATCTGTTAGATAGATAAATTTCTGGTTCCTTAAAAGTTAGGACCTTGTGCAGAAAGGAGCGCAGGATGGCAGGAAGGAGCATGGGACAGTGCTGTCTGCTCTGCTCCCACAGTTATTTGGGAGTGGAGGATCTGCTATCTAACTTGACCACTCAGGAGCAGTGTGCCATGGGCCCTAGCGGAAGCTGCCGGCTGAGTCCTAGCCAGAAGCCGCCTACTGAGCTGCTATGAGATGCACCTGCCAGGAGCAAGCAGGTACTTTGGGAAATAAACTGCTGTCTTTCCTGACCACGTAGGACCCCTAAACTTGGGCAACAGAGAGATCCTGGGCTCTTTGATGGACATAAGAAGCCACTTCCAGAAGGGAACAACAGGCTTCCTTCATGCTCATGCAGGTATTTTGGGGAACAAACTGCTGTCAGGCCTGACCATGTGGGGTCCCTAACTCGGGCAACAGGGAGGTCCTGTGCATCTTGAAGGAGGTGAAAAGCCATTTCTAAAAAGTAACAACAGGTTTCCTCTGTGGTCACTAAGATACTTTGGGAAACAAACTGCTGTCTCAAAAACAGAGCACAAATATATAGGTGGTTCTCAAAACATTGCTGTGGATCAACATGGGCATTTGAGAGCCATGGAAGCTGCAAACACCAACGGGGTGCAGCAAGTGTCAGTAGGGTACAGTGAGCCTCTGTGAGGTGCAGTGAGCCATCGTGGAGAGCAGTAAGCCACAACAGGGAGCAGTGAGCCACAGCTGGACCCACCCACCAGGAGCAAGCAGGACAGTGGGAAATTGAGTGAAGTCTCCCCCTTACTCCCCTCCCATGTGCATCTCTGTGCACATCTCCCCATCACACCCCAGTGTGTGTTTGTTCATGCACCCACCCTACATGCATCTGCTTGTGTACCTACCTGCCCAACCTTCCTTTGGAGTAGTGACGTCAGACCAAGAACCAACTATCATCTGAGGCACAAAACACTCTATAACAGCAATGTCCCAAAAGAAGCAGACTACCTCACTCTAAATAAAACCCAAAGCAACATGTCACCCCAAAAAGAGACACAGTAGCAATGGATTTCCTGAAGCCAGAAAGTCTGATGGAACTTTATGACACAGAATTCAAAAGAACAATGACTGAATATTTTCAATAGGTGAAAAACACACTTGAAAAATTACAGGACACTGCAAGCAAAAAACAGGAGGAGCTTAAAAGAATAATTCAGAACAATGCACATAAAACTAATGAGGCATTAGAGGCACTGGAAAAACAAGAAACCACAATTCAAAATTTGAAGTCCAAGGTTTCAGATGCTGTGTCAACATGATGGAGGGACACATGAACAGAGTTGAAGAGATGGAACACAGAAACAGTGAAATAAAAGATTGAATTGTCAACACTGACCAACTGATCTGCTAGAGCAAAAGCAGAATCAAAAAATAAGGAAAAAGAAGAAAACCTAAGAATGATGTGGAACTCCATCAAGAGAAGTAACGTGTGCATCATTGGAATCCCAGAACAGGAAGAAGTAATTAAAGGCACTGAAAAAGTTGTGGAAGAATTACTACAGGAATACTTTTCAGGCATAATGAAGAATGAGAGACTATATATTCAAGAAGCTGAGCGAACACCATATAGAATAGACCCCAAAAGAAAAACACCAAGTTGTTTCATTGTCAAATTTTCCAGAAACAAAGATAAGGAGAGAATTCTGAAAGCAGGGACGGAAAAACAAAGAGTAACCCATAAGGGAGAGCAGATAAAATTAAGTGCCAGTTTCTCAACAGAAACCATTTGAGCAAGAAGACAGTGGAATGACATATATCAAACACTCAAAGAATGCAACTGTCAACCAAGAATACTGTACCCAGCAAAACTGTCCATCAAATATGAAAAAGAGATCAAGATATTCCCAGAAAGACAGAACCTAAGGGGGTTTGTAAGAACAAGACCAACATTGCAAGAAACACTGAGAGATTTCCTTCTTACAGAAGTGTCACAGAAAGCAGGATGGGCCAAAGTAACTAGCAACAATACCAAAATAACGGAACAAAATGATAGCAATAAAAACTTTGCCTCTCAGTAATCACACTGAATGTGAATGGTTTAAATGCATCACTGAAGAGGAAAAGAGTAGCAGATTGTATAAAAAACAAATACAACAATATGTTGCCTACAAGAGACATACCTAAAAATTGAAGATAAAGACTAAAAATAAAAGGGTGGGGGGAAAAGCAAATGGCAAAAAGAAAAAAGCAGGAGTAGCAGTATTAATCTCTGATGAAAGAAATTTCAATGCAAAACCATCACAAAGGACAAAGAAGGTCACTGCATAATGCTGAAAGGGTCAATAGAACAAGAGGATATAACAATAATAAATATCTATGCATCAAATGAAAGACCTACAAAACATATAAAACATACATTAACAAAACTGAAAAAGGAAATAAACAACACTACTATAGTAGTTGGAGACTTCAATACACCACTCTCAGGAAAAGATAGAGCTACCAGAAAGAAACTTAGCAAAGGTACTGAAGAATTAAACCACACAATCAACCAACTCAATCTCATAGATATTTATAGGCTAATGCACCCTCTAAAAGCACAGTGTACCTTCTTCTCTAATGTGTATGGAACATTCTCCAGAATATATGCCATTTTAGGTCACAAAGCAAGCATCAATAAATAAAAACAAAACAAAACATAGAAATAATACAAAGAATCTTCTCAAACCACAATGCTACAAAATTAGAAAATAACAAGAGGATAAAGGATGAAATAAACCCCTACACATTTGGAAGCTGAACAGCACCTTGCTTAAACATGACTGGGTATGAGAAGAAATACAAAATGAAATTAAAACGTTTCTTGAAACAAATGACAATAAAAACATCACTTACCAAAATCTCTGGGAAACAGCCCAAGCAATAATCAGAGATCAATCGGTGGCAATATACAAACACATAAAAAGGCTAGAAAAAATAACCATTGACTCTCTAACCCAACATCTCCAACAAACTGAAAAAGTACAGCAAGGAAACCCAACACCCCGTAAATAAACTGATATTATAAAAATTGTTGTTGTTAAGTGCTGTGGAACGAAAGTCCTCAACACTTGTGGGATTTCCATCCTTTCTCCAGGTTCATAGGATTTCTGGAGGCAAGCTATTATGGAAGTAGATGCCACTCCTGCTTCCATTAGAAAAATAAGAGGAGAAATAAATGAAATGGAAAATCAGAAAACAATTGAAACCATCAGCAAAACTAGGAGCTGGTTCTTTGAAAAGGTCAATAAAACCTACAAACCACTAGCAAAACTAACAAAAGAAAGTAAAGACACAAATAATCAAAATAAGAGATGATCATGCAACATCACAACAGAACCAACTAAAATAAAAATGCTAACATTAGAATATTATGGAAAAACTATGCTCAAACAAATATGAAAATCTAGAGGAAATGGACAAATACTTAGACATTCACAACCTATCTAAACTGACATAAACCGATATTGAACACTTGAACAGACCCATTACAAAAGAAGAAATTGAAAAGGTAATAAAACAACATCCAGCCAAAAAAATCCCTGGACCAGATGGTTTAACGAATGAATTTTACCAAACTTTCAGAGAAGAATTGTCACCGATCCTACATAAACTATTTCAGAAAATAGAAAAAGATGGAATTTTTCCACACTCATTCTATGAAGCAAACATATCCTTGATACTAAAGCCAGGAAAGAACACCATCAAAACCGAAAATTACAAGCCAATATCTCTTGTGAATATAAATATGAAAATCCTGAATAAAATCCTGGCCAATAGAATTCAACGGTACAACAAAAAAATAATTCACCATGACCAAGTGGGATTCATAACAGGTATGCAAGAATGGTTCAACATAAGAAAAACAATCAATGTAATC